GGCGGGCGGGATTTGCAGTGAAATAGGGAAGGGTCTCTGCTGGCGGAATTGATGGGGTAGTGGGGTCTGCACAGAAGCTGGGGGAACGAGGGGGCCCTAAAATGGATTTGGGAGGGAGCCCTCGCTAAATTGGAGGATTGGAGGAGGTGAGGTCTGTTTGTTCCCCAAGAAAATACAGGCGAGGGACCTGCGCCGTGGCCGTGAAAGGATGGTCCGGGTGGGCCTGAGAGGCCGCCTGCGCCCATGACCTGCCCATTGTTCGCAGGTCCGACATGGGATCCCAAAAGCCTCGGATCCTGCCTTGGCTGGTGTCTCAGCTGGACGAGGGGCAGCTGGAGGGCGTGGCTTGGCTGGACCAGAGCCGCAGGCGCTTCCGCATCCCCTGGAAGCACGGTTTGCGGCAGGATGCCCAGCAGGAGGACTTTGGCATCTTCCAGGTGTGTGGGAGCTGAGACTCAGGAAACCCGAAGGTGCGGGTGCGGTGGACTGTGAGGAGTGGAGTTACAGTGGGATGGGGAGGGCTTAGGATAGTTGATAGGTGTGGGATAGCTGGAGAGCCCAGGTTCCAGGAGTAGAACTAGGAAAGCAGGTTAGACCATGAAGGAAATGCATCCTGGGAGTTCAGGGCTCACTGGGGATGGGATCTTGGATACAGAATTCTGGGGGCGGGTCTTGGAACATGAGACCAGACTGGGCTGAAGCTGAGGGTACTTACCACCAACTTAGAATACTACACCAGTGGGGGTAAACCCAGTTAGAGTTAGAGTGGGAGGGGGCGGGGCTATTACAGAGGGTGCCCTAGGGCAGGCTGGTTGCAGTGTTAGACACCTAGTAGGGCCTGGGAGGTTGGCTTAGAAAGCAAAGGATTTTGAAAGGTGGAGGCAGGGGGACTTAGGGCACTGAGAATTTGGGGAGAGAACCTTAACAAGGTCGGTGCTAGGATGAGAGGGGGCAGGGTTATGACCCCTGGGGTGGGGTCGGAATCATCTGCTCCTCTATCCTGGTCCCATTGGTTCCCCAGGCCTGGGCAGAGGCCAGCGGTGCCTACACTCCTGGGAGAGATAGGCCTGACCTGCCAACCTGGAAGAGGAATTTCAGGTCTGCCCTGAACAGGAAGGAAGTGTTGCGTTTAGCTGAGGACCGGAGCAAGGACCCCCACGACCCGCACAAGATCTATGAGTTTGTGAACTCAGGTGTGCTGGAAGCGGGGGTTCTCATGGAGGAATGGGATTGTAAGAGTCCCTAGCACCCCCTTTCCGCTCACCACCTCTCTCGCCAGCAGTTGGGGACTTCCCGGAGCTGGAGACTTCTCCGGACACCAATGGCAGATTCAATACCTCTGACACCCAGGTACGCATGCGCCCAGCCCTCCTGCCCCCTCAGTCTCTGTCCCATCGCCTCTGCGTCCCTGTGCACCTGTTCAGGCCTCATTCTCCCCATGGACCATTGTCCGCCTCCTCCCTGGCCTCCCTTCTCTCCCTCCCCTGACCCAGAGCTGACCCTCCCCCTCTCCTGCTCACAGCCCTCCATGGCTTCCCAGCACCCTCTGGAGAAAGTTCCGTTTTCACCAGGCATTCGAGGCCCTAACACACCTCCGGTTGCTTTCCTTGCTTTCCAGTCTCTTGGGAACTAGAAACTCCCTGCCCTTGATCTTGCTGATGTCTGTGCCAGGAAACGTCCCTGGGGGCATTCTCCCCAGACTTCTCTGCCCAGGTCTTGCCTGCGTGGAGCCAGATCCTTGGGCTGAATTAGCTGCTCTCCCGGACCTCCTAGCCCTCAGCATACATCAGAGCATTGTGCGCTCTGTGCCCAGGGTGGACTCTCCCCTAGATCGGAAACCCCTAGGTCAGTGATGGCGAACCTTTTGAGCTCGGCGTGTAGCATTTTGAAAAACCCTAACTTAACTCTGGCGCCGTGTCACATATAGAAAATTTTTTGATATTTGCAACCACAGTAAAACAAAGACTTCTATTTTTGATATTTATTTGATATATTTAAATGCCATTTAACAAAGAAAAATCAACCAAAAAAATGAGTTCGCGTGTCACCTCTGACACGCGTGTCATAGGTTCTCCATCACTGCCCTAGAGAGCAAGGCTCAGGACTGTCTCCTCTCTGGGTCCCCATATTGCTGAACATAAGGCCTGACCCATGGGAACTCTTCAGAAAATGCTGTGGAAATGCCTGGACCCTTCTCTCTCTCTCTCTCTCTCTCTCTAGGAAGACATTCTGGAGGAGTTATTGAATGACATGGCCTTGGGCTCAGTTCCAGATGAGGGGGCCTCGAGCCTGGCTGTGGCCCCAGAATACCCCCCTCAGCTCTTGCTGAGCCCCAACTTAGACATTCCTGCTCCCTACCCAAACTCAGCGCCCCCTGAAAACCCACTGAAGCAGCTATTGATGCCCCAGGACGGTGAGTGCCAGCTGTGGGCTGGGAGGAGCTGGATCTGGGGTGATGGGCCCTTACACGCTCTCAATCTCTCCCTTCACGTTGCCGCCGCTGCTGCTCAGACTGGGAGTTCGAGGTGACCGCCTTCTACCGGGGCCGCCAAGTCTTCCAGCAGACGGTCTTCTGCCCGAGGGGCCTGCGGCTGGTGGGGTCAGAAGGAGGGGACAGGACACTCCCTGGGCAGCCGATCACACTGCCAGACCCCGGGGCGTTCCTGGCAGACAGGGCCGCGAAGGACTATGTGAGTCGTGTGCTGAGCGGCCTGGGCGGGGGACTCGCTCTGTGGAGGGAAGGGCAGCGGCTCTGCGCCCAGAGGCTGGGCCCCTGCCACACATACTGGGCTGTGGGCGAGGAGCTTCTCCCCGACAGCGGCCACGGGCCTGATGGCGAGGTCCCCAAAGAGACGGAAGGAAGCGTGTTCAACCTGGGGCCGTTTGTGGCAGGTGAGTGGAGAGGGGGCCCCAGTGGTTAAGAACCGGGGTCTGACCTTTCGGGATCCTGCTGCTGTTGGCCATTTAGCCTAGACTGCTCTGAGCCCGGCAAGTCTGAGGGTCCTCTCCCTCCCTCTGCCTACCCAGGGCTGGGAGGAGGCACGGGGCCCCCTGCACAGAAGGTGTAGGGAACTAGCTGCCATAGTTGTCATTATTATTACCAACTAGAGGCCCCGTGCACGAAATTCATGCGGGGGGTGGGGGGGTTCCCTCAGCCCAGCCTGCACCCTCTTCAATCCGGGACCCTTTGGGAGATGTCCAACTGCCTCTCGCTATTCGGGACCGCTAGCTCTGAACCGCTCGCCTGCCTACGTGCCTGATCACCCCTAACCACCTTTGCCTGCCTGATCACCCCTAACTGCTCTCCTACCAGTCTGATCGCCCCTAACTGCCTCCGCCTTGCCCCACACCTGGGACCCAGGATTCCCTTCTCCTGCCGGTTGCAGGCACCTGGGACCCGGGCTTCCCTCCCTCTGGCCGGCCGTAGGCACCCAGGACCTGGGCCGGCTTCTCCCAGGCCGGCTTCTCCCAGGCCGGCCGCAGCCACAGGGACTGTGGGCGGGTGGCTTCACCTGGGCCGCAGGCACCCGGGACCTGGCTGGTCCCCATTCCTCTCTCACGAGCTCATTTGTGCCTGGCTGGTCCCCATTCCTCTCTCCCCAGTGTTGAGTGTCTGCACAGTTCCAGCGCTAGGGCAAGAGGGCATGAGGGCGTGATGACTATTTGCATATTAGCTCTTTATTATATAGGCTTATGGTGGACAGAGAGACACAGGAAAGATCCCGTAGGACTTTGCTAGCCAATAGCACTTTCTTTGCATTCCCCAATATTGTACAGTATCCAGCCACATTGCTATTGAGTACTTAGATGCGCTGAGAGCATCTGAGGAAGTGAGTTTTAAACTATTTGCATTTTAATTAGTTACCATTTAAATAGCCCTGGTGGCTAATGGCTACTTAGGGACAGTGTGGCCTTAGGGGGTTAAAGAGCAGTAACTGTCAACATCTTTGGGAGAGGATTCCCCTCCTGGACCTGCTTCCCCATCCTGAATGCTCAGGGGAGGTGGGAGCGGATCGTCCAGCCCTACCCTGATGGGTGGGAGGGAAAAGGAACTTTTATGTTTGTGCCAGAATTGTGGGGACTTGACGCACATCAGCAGCCCCCTGGTTTTGATGGCAGAGGTATGCCAGGCTTTAGGTTAGTGGGGAAGGTAGGACATTATTCAGGTTTTAGGGGGAGGGGCAGGTAGAGGTCTCCCCATCCCTGACTAGGCTCTTGGGCCCGCAGATCTGATTGCCTTCATCAATGGAAGCGGACGCTCACCACGCTACACCTTCTGGTTCTGCATGGGGGAGTCATGGCCTCAGCACCAGCCGTGGACCAAGAAGCTAGTGATGGTCAAGGTGCCTGCACCTTAGGATCCTGGAGCTGGGGGGGTGGGGGGGGTCTTCCAAAAGAATAGGTCGCTCCCAGGAACTACAATTCCCAGAAACCCCTGGAGAAACAAAAATTTCCAACT